TTTTTGATTTATTGTAGAGATGAGGTCTCACCGAGTTGCCCAGGCGGGTCTCGAACCCACAGGCTCAGGCAGTCCTCTCACCTCAGCCTCCCATGGCACAGGATTACAGGCTGAGCCACCGAGCCCGGCTCTCACACCTCTTGATGCTCCCCTCTTTGTCCCTGTGCCCAGGGGTGGAGGGGCTGTCTCTGGACGTGTCATCCCTTGTGGACATCCGGGACTACGTCAACAAGGAGCTGGCCCTGCGCATCCATACGGACATTGACAGCCAGGGCACCTTCTTCACAGACCTCAATGGCTTTCAGGTGACTCCTGGGGCCAGCGCCCTGAAGACCCCTAGAGCAGAACTTGGACTGTGTTTTTGCCTCCACCACAGACACTTGGGGGGTGGTTTGCCCTGATGGAGGGAGAGGAATCAGAGGCGAGAGTGACCAGTCCTCCAGACCAAGGATCTCTTGGGAAGCAAATGGTCCCCAGCTGCCCTTGATTTGCTGGCCTCGCCCCACAGGTGCAACCCCGGCGGTATCTGAAGAAGCTGCCCCTGCAGGCCAACTTCTACCCCATGCCGGTCATGGCTTATATCCAGGACATGCAGAGGCGCCTCACACTGCACACTGCCCAGGCCCTGGGCGTCTCCAGCCTCAAGGATGGTGAGTAGGAACAGGATCCGCGGGGTGTATGACCAGAAAGAAGGTGACCCACACCTCAAGGTCCCTCTGCTCTGTTGGCCTCCCTCGCCTCTTTCCTGTCTGCATCTCCTCCATGCTTGGAGAAGGGACAAGCCATTCACAGCCCCTGGCGGTCACCCCTGCGTGCAGGAGGAAGGCAGGCACCTGCTGCCACCCTGTCCCCTGGTGGAGGCAGCAGTGGAGGCAGCTGGGTGGAAAGTGTCCTGTTGGATCCCTCAGCAAGCATCAGGGTATTGAGCAGTGATTCTCGACCGAGGGGTGCAACCCCCTTCTGGCCAGGGATGAGAGTAGGAACAGTTCAAAAAGTACACTCAATATTCCAATAAAATATTTAGGAAAGGAGAAAACTATTAAAAGAGGGGAGACTGGGCTCGGTGGCTTAGCCTGTAATCGCAGCACTTTGGAAGGCAGAGGCAAGAGGATTGCCTGACCAGCCTGGGCAACTTGGCGAGACCTCATCTCTACAACAAATCAAAAAATTAGCCGGGTGTGGTGGCACACGCCTGTAGTTCCAGCTACCTGGAAGGCTGAGGTGAAAGGATCACCTGAGTCCAGCAGGTCGAGGCTGCGGTGTCCGTGAGCATGCCACTGCACTCCAGCCTGGGCGACAGAGTGAGACTTGGACTCAAAAAAATAAAAAGAAGGGATGACCTTCTGAGGAATCAAAACCAGGGCATGGGGACCACTGGCCTGGAGTCAGATCTGGCTGGCGTCACTCTGGGCAGGCCCCGGGTGACTTCCACAGCCTCAAGACAAAAGGAACAGTTCAGATGTGGTGACCTGTGAATCCTTGAGATCTTCTGTCCATGGGACAGAACCCGCTCAAGGCTGTGCATGTGGCCTGGTGGCAGGTGTGATTGCTTAGAGTAAAAAGACTGAACACCTGCAGAAGTCAAAGTTAGAAGTGGGGAGACGACAGGGAGGACAGGGCCCTCATCCTAAAGAATGTGGGAGAAGTTGGTAAGGTCTCCAAGAAAAACAAGTGCTGGGGAAAGGCCTCAGCCCAAAGCACGTCAGCTATGCAGTGAGCTCTTCCCTAAGCATACTATAAAGAAGGCATATGCAGTTACCTGCCATCTTTTCCTCAGGACAGCCTCAGGTGATGCTTAATAGAGCCTCTGCCTGCCTTTGTCTTGTCCACAGCCCTACTTTTGATGGACAAGGCAGTCAGAGCATGAGTCTGATCTGCTGGGGCTTTCCGGCTGTCCCCATGTGGAACAAAGGCAGGAAAACATATGTTCTAATCACAACAAATCCTGCCCAGCCTGAGAAGGCCTGACGCAGATTAGGGCATGCACAGCAACTCTGAGGATGGCTATTAGCTTTTTTTTGTCTGCTTGTTTTGTTGTATGTAGCTAGTCCTGATACGGTTTACTGCCTGAGCCCCTGGACCCAGTCCCCACTCCTGAGTCCCAGAGCATGGGGGCAAACTGCCAGGGTCAGCCTGCCCCTTTCCAGGGATCTTGTGGCCTCATCTGCAGAGTTAAGGCACGGGACCTGCCCTTTACCAACCTCCCTTCTGGCTCTGGGGTCCCATGACATCTTTGTTCTGAGTGACTCAGCGTCTCGTCTGGCTCACGGAGCCTTTCTCTCTCGGGTCCTGTGGTTGGGATTCTCCTTCCAAAGGTCAGGGTCTGCTTGGGATTGGGAGTGGCAGCCGGGGGCTCACGGCTCACTTCCCCAGGCCAGCTGGAGGTGATCTTGGACCGGCGGCTGATGCAGGATGACAACCGAGGCCTAGGCCAAGGGCTCAAGGACAACAAGAGAACCCGCAACTGCTTCCGCCTCCTGCTGGAACGGCGAACCATGGGCAGTGAGGTAAACTCTGAGCCTGACACCCAGGGAACCAGGTCTGGCTAGTCCCCATGGGTGGCCCTGGGGGATCCAGCCTAGGGCTTGAGGAGCTTAGCTGGAGGTGGGCAAGGGACGGAGAGAGCAAGGCACAGTTCCTGGGGTGCGGGGAGGCAGTCCGGCCTTCTGTGTCCCATCTCATGCCGCCTGGCACCTCCCTCTGCCAGCAGCATCCTGCCGCCTGTGCCCCCTCGTGCTCCTCTCCCACCTTCCTCTGTGCTGCCCTCCTCTCCCTGTCTTGGCCCCAGCATTTTCTAACCTCTGCTCCAGCCCCGCTCATCTCATGGCTTTCTTTGCCCCCACCAGCCTGACTTTTTCTCCAAACTGGCAGCCATGTTTAGGGGCTTGGTCTTTCCCAGCAGCAGGAGCAGTCACCAAGAGGTAAGGGTCAGCAGTGGGAGTGGTGGCCTAGTGTGGGCAGCCGTGACTGCAGGTGGAGCCCGGGATGACAGTCTGCCGCTCAGTGTCCTGGGTCTGTGGCTCAGTCACTCGTTCGTCAAACAGATCCTGAGTACCTACTTTGCTGTGAGGACTGAGAGGGACATAAATGCATACAGTGTTGCTGTACTAGGAATTTACTCGTGAGCAGGGCTGGGAGAGAAGCTCTGTGTATAAAATACAAGGTAGAAAAGGGCTACATCCCGCTGGTCCTGAGGAGCAAGACAATGTTGGGGCCTAAGGAAGTCATGGACAGTTCCTGGAGGAGGTGTCATCCAGTTTTGTCTTTGATGAATGCGAGTGTGATAGAAGCACATGAACCAGGGCACAGAGTAGGAGGCAGGAAAGACGATGTGAATGGGGAAGAAAAATGAGTTCCTTGAGATTCGAGCTGTGCTGTCCAGTATGGTACCCCCAGCCACATGTGGCCATTAAATTAATGATAATGAAGTCAAATAAGGCATTCAGTTTCTCGTTCATACTGGTCCCATGCAAGTACTCAGTGGCACCAGCGGCTGAGTGGCTGCCATATGAGACCGGGTGGATGTCACGTATCTCCATTCCGAAGGCTCCCTCGGTCAGGCTGGGCTAGAGGTGGTGGGGGAGGTCGAGGCAGACTGCAGAGGGCCTTGAGTGCTTGGACCTTAGCCTGGAGGCCGGGGGTGGATGCTATTGAACTCTGCCCTCAGCGTGTCACTGTGACAGCAGCAGGTAGCGTGGACCTGTTGGAAGGGAGCCTGCAGGCATGGAAGCCAAGGTGGGGGAGGCGAGGTGCCGGGCAGTTGGACAGAGGGGCACCGGGGCCAGAAAGCCAGAGTCCAGAGAAGCAGCAGCTTCAGAGAGGAGTTCAGCTCAGGCCTGTGAGCGACGTGTAAGCAAGCCATCTAGGGAGCGGTCCTCAGCCAGCAGAGCCGCCACGCCACGAGGGCTGTAGGCCAGGCTGACGCTGTGGCCGTGGCGCTGTGCTTGATTACCTGGAGCACTCTCGATCAGAGGCCCGTCCTCCGTGACACCTCTGTCTGCCCGGCACCATTTCTCCCTGCCCAGCGTCTCTGGGAGGGGAGAGGTGGCTGATAGGAGTGTGCTGCTCATGACGGTGCAGAGCAGGGAGGGACGGCTAGTAAGGGAGCTGAGTGGGCAAGGGATATGGTCACATGTGAAGGGTTGGGGGATGATGCCTGGAACCCTTGAGTCCAGACACACCAGGAAAGCTCCTGCCAACGGAATGACCCTGGATGTTCTTTGACCCTGCCCCACCCTCGCCCCTCAGCCTGGCTCCCGGCTCCTCTCATCCGCACTTTGGGCCAATCTTGCAGGTCCAGGAGAGCCACTCTACCAGCTACCCGTCCCTCCTCAGCCACCTGACCTCCATGTATCTGAATACCCCGGCGTTTGCCCTGCCTGTGGCCAAGAGGCAGCTCCCAGGTCCTGGTCTGCACTCGTTCCGTCCCCTGGCTTCCTCACTGCCCTGCGACTTCCACCTGCTCAACCTGCGCACACTCCAGGCTGAGGTGAGTTCCCACTCAGCCCGGCACCTCCAGGACTGGGTTCTGGCCTTTTCTCAGCCGGCGGCCCCTGTGCAGAGGGGCGGCCTCATCCCTGTGCTCTGAAGGCGGTGCCCCAGATTGCCCTCCGTTCTGTCTGTCATCCAGGATGACGCCTCACCCTCAGCAGAGACTGCGCTCATCTTACACCGGAAAGGTTTTGACTGTGGTCTTGAGGCCAAGAACCTGGGCTTCAACTGCACTACGAGCCAAGGCAAGGTGAGCAGGGCGGGAGACAGAGTACTGGGAAGACCAGAGCAAAGGCTTGGTGAGACTGGACCGAGGTGGGGCGGCAGGATGGGAGAAGATGTCACTCCAGGGGAAGAGAAAAGGGGGAAGCAGTTGATGAGACCTGGCAGGGGCAAGTTCCAGACAAGGCATATAGCTTGAGAGCTGTTATCCCTTGAGCAGGGATCTCTTTCAGGCCAAGTGGCAAACACTAGAAGTAAAAAACCGAGCTCCGTCATGCTATGACTTTGAGGCACTATCCATTGTTTTGACCACAGCTGGTAAATGCGCGCAGGTGCCAGGTCCTCCACTGGGCTCCAGCATTTCAGAAGTGAAGTGAGACACGGTCCCCGTTGTCAGAGCTCACAGCTCAGCAAGGCAGTTCTGCCCTGATACCTGCAGACAGGCTTTGTTGGGTGGGGCAGATCTCAGTGAGCCTGGGAGAAACTCACGTGGAAGAGGCATGTTGCTGCTGAGAGGGTCTATAGTTTCTGTCAGATTCTTGTTTGATGGTTGGTTTTTTGAGTCAGAGTCTTGCTCTGATGCCCAGGCTAGAGTGCAGTGGCATGATCACAGCCACCACAGCCTTGACCTCCTGGGCTCAGGCAGTCCTTCCACCTCAGCCTTCCAAGTAGCTGGAACCACATGCCTGGCTAATTTTTTGATTTATTATAGAGACGAGGTCTCACCAAGTTGCCCAGGCTGGTCTCAAACCTCTGGGCTCAGGTAATCCTCTCACCTCTGCCTCCCAAAGTTGCTAGATTACAGGCACAAGCCACTGCACCTGGCCATCTGTCTGATTCTTAAAGAAGTAACAAGTTGTCTAGATGAAGAACTGCATTATTTAGTATCTCAGCTCCCAGCACAACCCTGCACTTCTGTCCTCTCCACAGGTGACCCTGGGGAGCCTTTTCCATGGCCTGGACATGGCCTTCCTGCAGCCAACCTCTTTGACGTTGCTATACCCTCTGGCCTCCCCCTCCAATAATACTGACATCTACGTGGAGCCCATGGAGATCGCCACTTTTCGCCTGCGCTTGGGTTAGGGCTTCTTGTGGTCTGAAGAGAAAGCTCATCCTCAGAGACTGCCTCTTACCATTAAGATTGGGTTGGACAAGCCACACCAGGTGTCCTGTCCCGATCTGCCTCCCAGAACTGTGATGAACTGGGCTCTGCCCTCATTTCCTGTTTATTGTTGCTTCTGTGTTCAGGGGCAGCCCACAAGCCCGGCGGCGGGTAAATAGGGTAGGCGCTGGTGAGATCAAGGAGAGAAGGCCCTCGGTTGGAGTGGGCACTGCCCGACTCTGCTTGGTTGTAAGTGGCCGCCCATGTGGGCACAGGCTTAAGCACCCGTCCTTTTCCCAAAAGGGCATGTAGAAGAAGCAGAGGCAGACAGAAGACTAAGGGAGGTGACGCGGTAAACAGCCAGCGTCCGGGTCACTGTGGGCGACAGCTGGCTCTAGGGGACTCTTGTGGTTGTGTAGAGACTAATGGCCTGGTGTGGTGAGCAGGACCAGAGTGACTCTGGGAGGAGAGGATGGGGACCCAGAGTTAGCAGTGGGCTGGAGGAATAGAGGAATCCCTGTGTCTCCTAAGAGTCCTAGGCCTTGCTGCTTTCTGTGATGGCTCCACGCTAAGTGCCACCTGACCTGCACATCCTGGTGTGGGGTGGCAGGGTGGCAGGAAGGACTTGCTAGAGACTATCATGGCCAGAGGTCATAGGATGCTTCAGGTATCAAAACCCGTATCGCACACCGGGCACTTGGTCTGTGTGGTCTGTGGGATGGTGGCAGGGGTGTAGGTGTCCTCCGTCCTTCCTGACCCCTCTGTGGCTTCTTACTCTACCCATTGTCCCCAAGAGCTCCTTCCAGTCATAGGGAGGTTTGGTGTTATTTCCTTTCTCTGAAAAAAAAGTGAAGCTTCCAAGCCCCATGTGCTTAGGCAATTGAGAAGACTTACAGCACCATGCCTCGCAGGCAGGCGTGAAGCTTCATCTGTGTCCATCCTCCTACAGAAGTATTCAGTCCCTGGTACAGGGGACTAGGATATGTACACGAGATAAGGAGGCAGTATTGCTGCTCAGGAGTCTTCGTTTCAGCTTCGATTAATAGATAAAAACTTATGATAGTCTATATAGATGCTGAAAAGATATTCGATAAAATTTAAAATCCACCCCTTATTAAAACTCTTAGTAAGTTAAATCTAGAAAGAAACATCCTGATCTAGATAAAGGTCTCTATCAGAAGCCAACAGTTATTGGCATTCTAAGGAGTCAGACACCACAGGCATTCCCATTATAGCCAGAAACGAGCCAGGGGCTATTATTTAGCAATGTACTGGCACTACTAAACCCTGCAGTGAGGCAGATGAGGAGATAAGGAAGAATTACAATCGTCATTATTCATAGACAATAAAACTGCCTACCTGTAAAATCTAAGAATCAACTGGAGAACTGCTAAGAGCACTCTGTAACTTGACCTAGTGATCACATCATGTTCCTGTAAAGGTTTTGGTTCTCCCCAAATCAGGTGATAAATTCAATGTAATTCCAACGAGACTGATTTTTTTTGAAACTTGACAGTTTCTGAAGTTCATTTGGAGGAGTAAATGTGTGAGAATACTAAGACAGTCCTGAATGATGATGAGTTGGGGGTGGCTGGCACCGAGGTGGGAAAAGGCACTTGTCCAACCAGATTTCCCAAAGGACACTCTTGCTACCATGACCTTACTCAGTGTGACTTGGTATGGGTCGGTAGACCAGTGACAAAACAAGATCCGGGAATACAGAAATTTGGTATATGTTAAGAGTATCTTAAGTGGGGGAAAAGGTGGATTATTTAATGCATAGTGCTTTGAGACAACTAGCTAGCAATTAAAGTAAATTATATCTCTACCTCACAGTTTCTGCACAAATTAGTTCCAGAGGGAAAAAAATACTACAAAGCTACTCAGAAAAATCTACTTTTATGCCTCTGGTGTGGGAAGGACTTTTCTAAGCATAAGATCTAAAAGATACAATAAGGGAAAAGATAAATAGATTTTGCCACCCAAAAATCCTGAAAGTTTCTGTATGATAGAAAACATCAGCTGGGTTCGGTGGCTCATCCTGTAATCCCGCACCTTTGGGAGGTTGAGTTGAGTGGATTGCCTGAGCCTGCGGTTTCGAGATCCGCCTGGGCAGGCGAGACCTCATCTCTACAATAAACCAAAAAATTAGCCGGGTGTTGTAGCGCACACCTGTAGTTCCAGCTACTTGGAAGGCTGAGGCGGAAGGATTGCCGGAGCCCAGCAGGTTGAGGCTGTTGTGGCCACTGAGCGTACCATTGCACTCCAGCTTGGGCAACAGAGTGAGACACCGACTCAAAAAAAAAAAAAAAAAAGAAAACATCAAGGTTAAAACACAAATGACATTTAGGGGAGAAAATATTGGCAGCACATTAAAGAAAAATCTGAGTACAATTACCTTAGGAGAAAAGCTTGTTTTGGGGTTTACAGAAACAGTCACTGAGGCTGCCAGGCAGCCTCCTAAGGACCCAAGAGTGACAGGGCTAAGTTCCTCCCAGTCATCTAGAGTTGCTATTGCCAGTGTCAGGCCACAGCAGTGGAGTCCTGTCTCTAACATAGTGGAAGAAATATGGTTATCAATGTGAAGTGCCTCACATAGTACCTGATACATACAAGAGCTCTGCAAATATGGGCTATAATAATATTAGTAAATGATGCTTACCTGTTATATGATGGCAAGTGTTACTTGCTAGTATAATTTGTAATCAAATGATAGGGGAATCTGTGAACCCCTAGGGAATTAGCATAATAAAGGATATTATCTTTGGATGTTTTAGATGTGCAATGAAATTATTCATCCAACAGGAACTATGATGTTTAATCCTGTACACTAACCTTGAAAATGACTTAAGGTAGCATTGCTCAAGGTGTGGTCCAGAATCTCCAGAATTACTGGATGGAAGTACCAGTTTCTGACCTGTCTGGACTAGGGCTTCTCCTTCAGCCTGAATGCTGCAGTGCAGATGCGTGGGGCAAAGCCACAGCTGCCCTGAGACTGAGTAAGAAACAAGTGCTTACTGTAGTGTTAAGGGGGGAAAACATTCTTAGGTACAACCCTTGATCTAATCTTTGGGAATAGAGGCCAAAGAGTTTGCATTTTTAATAAGCTCCCAGGTAATCTTGCACACACTTAGTTTGGAAGTCATCAAACTATTTTAAGACAGGCAGCAACCCTTTACTATGGAGCTCTGGCACTGAGGAGTCACAGTTCTGAGGGCTACAATAAAAACAAACCAACACATGACACAAGAAATTCCAGCCACTGGAAATGGATTGAATTCTATTCCACCATGTACTTGGAACTATCCTGTTTCCATGGAGACAGAAGGGCTGTATGGCCAGTTGGAACAACAGAGAAAGGCAGAAGACCCAGGCACACCATTTAAGAGCTGGGTCCTTAGCCGGGCTCGGTGGCTCAGCCTGTAATCCCATGCCTGGGAGGCTGAGGTGAGTGGATTGCCTGAGCCCGCGGGTTCGAGACCCGCCTGGGCAACTTGGCGACACCTCATCTCTACAATAAATCAAAATGAGCCAGGTGTGGTAGTGCGCCCCTGTAGTTCCAGCTGCTTGGAAGGCTGAGGTGGAAGGATTGCTGGAGCCCAGTAGGTCGAGGCTGCAGTGGCCGGGAGCGGCCACTGCACTCCAGTCTGAGTGACAGAGTGAGATTCTAACACAAAAAAAAAAAAAAAAGAGCTGGGTCCTCCCACTCAGGCTAAGCCAGGCCCAGACAGCGTTCTGATGCAACTTGCTTAGGGGAAGGTAAAACTTTGAACGCCTATGTAGAGACAGCAACATCTTTAATTTAACCTGAACTTTACTTTGCTCTTCCTCACTGTGGTTAATCAGTCTAGAGAGGTGAGAGTGAGGCTTACCATCCAAAATAGGCATCTCTAAATAAATCTTTTGTTCTTCCCTAACAAAAATGTGTCGGAAGAACAAACACTTCAAGAGGCAAGTCTCATAGTGAGAAGAGATGACAGGAGCAAGATCATATCCTTCACAACATCCCTCCATTTTAGGGTCAGTGAGGGATACTTTCAGATGGTAACAGTTGTCAGGACCAACTGGGTCTGCAAGAAGCCTCCATCCATTCTGGCTCCTGACTTTGGAATTCCCTAGTTGAGAAGAAACCTAAACTGAAAGTGAACATCATGAAATTAGGTAGTCGGGGCACAGGAAACCTAAGCGGAGTTGGGGATGAGGATTCCTTGACATTGGGAATGTGACAGGGTTGAAGATCTGAGCACCTCTGTGGAGGTTTGAGACTGTCACTCCGCGGAAGAGGAAACACTGAGGTTTCCCTCTAAACAGGCCCACTGGTATGGTTTGAATATTTGTGTCCCTCCCAAACTCATACTGAAACTTAACCTCCAATGCAACAGTTTTAAGAGGTGGGAGTCTTTAGAATATGATTAGATCATGAGACCTCCCTTGTGAGTAGGATGAAGGCACTTATACAAGAGGCTTCACACAGCTTTGCTCCGTTTTTTACCGTTTGAGGATGCAGCATTCATTCCCTCTGAAGGATGCAGCAACAAGACACCATTGTGGAAGCAGAAAACAGCCCTCCCCAGACACTAGGCATGCTTATATGTATCAACATAAATCTCAAAAACGGTGGTGAGGGAAAAGGAAGTTGCAGAGTGAGATGTACTTTTGACATATTAAAAAATCCAAAAACAAGTTGGGCACACGAGCTCACACCTGTAATCCCAGTACTATGGAGGCGGAGGCGAGAGGGTTGCCTGAGCCCAGGGGTTTGAGACCAGCCTGGGCAACTTGGCAAGACCTTGTTTCTACAATAAATCAAAAAATTAACTGGGCGTGGTGGTGTGTGCCTGTAGTTCCAGCTACTTGGAAGACTGAGGCAGAAGGATCGCCTGAGTCCAGCAGGTTGAGGCTGCGGTGGTTGTGAGCATGCCACTGCACTCCAGCCTGGGTGACAGAGTGAGACTCTGACTCAAAAAAAATTAAAAAATAAGTACTAAAAGGACAGTCTTTTCAGCAGATGGTGCTAGGAAAACTGGATATCCACATGCAAAAGAATGAAGGTGAACCCCAACCTTACACCATATACAAAAATTAACCCAAAATGTAAATGAGTAGATGTTAGCTGCTCTGGAAACAAAAACAAAAAAAGGGTAACTTTTACGCAGCCATAAAGAAGAACAAAATCATGAACTTCGCAGCAACCTGGATGGAATTGGAGTTTACAATACTGAGTGATCTTTCACAGAAACAAAGATCTGAGTATCACATGTTCTCATAAGTGGACCTTGAACAACTACTGTAATACTATAAAAAGGATTGACAGTGGAATACTGTGGGGGCATGGGGGGCGGGGAGGTGGGATTGGCAGTAGTGGAGATCTTCCTGGGGAGGCGGGGGCACACCTTATCAACAAGGGTAACTGCGCAATGAATATTTGTATACCTAACCCTGAATTGTACCCCACAATTTTAAAAAAAGGGGGTAACTTTTTTTTGAGATGATGGATATGTTAATTTGCTTTACGGTAGTAACATTTTTGCTATTTATATGTATCCTCATAACATCATATTGTGTTCCTTATACACAACTAACCCCAAATGGTTAAAAGACCTAACCATTTAAGAGCTAAAACTGGCAGCAAATAGCAGACACCCTTGCTGCTGTTCTGCTTGTTGTGCCTTTCACAGGTCATCTTCTCTTTAATAAATTTACCAGCCAGGAGTGGTGGTTTACGCCTGTAGTTCCAGCACTTTGGGAGATGGAGGTGAGATGATTGCCTGAGCCCACGGGTTCAAGACAAGCCTGGGCAACTTGGCAAGACCTCGTCCCTACAATAAAAAACCCAAAAAATTAGCCAGGCTTGGTGCCCCATGCCTGTAATTCCAATTACTTGGAAGGCTGACGTGGATCACCTGAGCCCAGCAGGTGGAGGCTTCGGTGGCTTGTGAGCGTTCCACTTGACTCCAGCTTGAGCGACAGAGCCAGACTGCGACTCAAAAATAAATAAAACTCAGAAGAAAACGGGAGAAGCTTCGGGACATTGGATTTGGCAATGATTTCTTCTTGGCTATGACACTTAAAAACACAGGGAACAAAAGAAAAATATGTGGACTACAACACAATCAGCTTTGGTTAAAAACAACAACAAAACCTTGTAATCCCACTCCCGCAAACCTAATTAAAAAAAATAAAAAACAAAATCCTCCAAAATATACCACACCCTGAGGATTACACTGAACTTTGTTCATTGATTGATCTGGGACTGGCCTGAAACTCGTTTTCTTTTAAAATCAGTTTTTGGGGTCTTTACCTACTTTTTCGCACGCTCTAGGGGCCTTCATTTGAGAAATAACTATCATGGTTCAACAGGAAGTGGTCTTTGACCTAACCATTTCCTCGTCCTCCAGATGATCGCTTTTCAAGGAGGCTTAGAAGCCTCAGCTGCTCAGCAGGACTAAAAAAACCACCGAGTGATAAATAATCCCTCCCCGCGGGCAGAGCAAGCTCCCCCGCCTTCCGCAGACTCCGCCTCCTGCCGGGCTGGGAGGGTGGGGCAAGGCCGCCCCGGGGCCACTTCCGGGAGTTTCCGGAAGTTTAGGTCGCTTAGCAACCCAAGGCACCCGCAGCGTGGTAGAGCCGAGACGGAGACTGCCTATCGCCGAGTTTCCGCTGCGGTCTGGGATATCCGGGAGCCGCAGCCCCCCACCGGTCCGATCATGTTGCTTCTCTCCAGTGCCCAGCAAGTTGCCAGCAAGCGGGTGTCACTCCTTTCCAATACAGCTGTCATCCCTACCAACTTTCTTTACGGGGACGGTTACTACCATTTCTTCAGCAAGTACATGTCAGGCTCCATCAGGCCCGTCACATACTCTAACCCTGATCATTACACAACGGATGAGGAAGCTAGGCTCGGAGGGGTTGAGCCCTCAACCTGAGGGAGGTGGCTCAGGGGCGACACAGTTGGAACCCCGCCTTCATCAAGGACAGGTATGCAGCCTACCGGTCCCCCATTCAGGAGGCTGGAAAAGGAGCAGCAGCAACTTAAATCTTACCTAAAGTTCTTTTATTTTCCATCATAATTTAGGAACTAATGTTTATACAAGCCCAAGTCCCCGAGGGGGCTAGAGATCCCACTATATAAAACAACAAACAGACCCAAGACAAGGAAAGGCAGTGAGAACATTAGAAATGGATGGGATACATCTGATTTCCTCATTCGGGGCTCTCCCTAGTTGGCAGAAGACTTTCAGATTAAGAAAGCCTAAGAGTTCTTGGCCTCTGATAATCTGGGGAAAAGGGAGAGAGCTCAGCAGACACAGAAAAGCTGGAGGGCAAATCCTGTCCAGCCTGGGCAAGGCCGGAGTTGTGCCACCAGATGGCTCCAAGCACTGCTCAGAGTGTCAGCCCCCGTTCCTTGAACAGATCCTTTAGAGCCTCTTCCAGTTGCTGGTTTGTTCCCTGAAGCCCCTTCACCACCTGCGCTGCCCACGTGAAGTATTCCTGGACTCGATGTTCTGACCATCCTGCATAAGAGTGAACAGAAACCTGCTCATGTGATGTCAAGGACAGTGCTGCCTTTTGCCCACTTCCTGGAGGGCTTGGTGCAGGGCCATGAGATGAGTTCCTGATGGAATGATCTGTCCCGAAAACTTCCCCTTAGTCTAGCTATTGTAGTTTTACCTTAGGAAAGATTAAAGAGCGGTTGAGTAGGATTAACTTGGGGAATTAACAAGAACGTCCAAAATTTGTCAGGGGAACTGATCAACCTGTGTCTGCAGAAGGTGGACATCCCTCCCGGTTCCCTGGAGCCGGTAGGAGAGCGTACCCTTTGGGGTGCAGCGGTTTATGTCCCTCAGATTGTACAGCTTGTCTGCCAGCTTCACCAGTTTGGCCCCAGGGCTGCTGTGGGGGGCATGCACCACCTGCAGCCGCTTTCTCTCCAGTTTGGGCAGACTCTTGTCATCTGTCACCTCCTCCACCAAGCGCCGCACAGGTGCCCCAAAGTGCAGCTCCACTTCATCCAGGGTGGTGTCTGTGTCCTCCACCGTGTCATGGAGCAGGGCCGCCTGGGGACAAGCTCCGACTCAGCTCTGAGATGCCAGCCAGGGGGTGCCCATTGCTAAATGGGGTCCCTGATCCCCACCCCAGCCTCCTGGCAGAGAAGTGGGAAAGTTACCTGTAACACCACAATGTCAGTGATTCCCGCCTCATGGGTCAGAATCCGAGCCACACCTGGTGGGCAAAGCAGCAAGTCAGATCGGAGGGAGCCGCAGAGCGCCGTGCTGTGGGTCTCAGAAAGCCAGATGTGGCCCCAATGACTAGACTAGCCTTGGTCAAGTGACCACGCTGTAGGTGCCAGTCGAACGAAGGGAACGATCGTGCCCACCGCCCCAGGTGGTCGTGCGGCTCCACCGCATATATCGCACAGAGCTTGGTACAAAGTAGATGCTCAATGAGGGGCCCGCCCTCCACGCTCCCTTCCCAGCCTCCCTCCCCAAAAGGCGCCGTGGCGGTTGCTCCCGAGCCTGCGCGCCCACCGATGGGGTGGTTGATGTAGGGGGTCTCTTCGGGGTCCTTCCGCCGCTGTTGGCTGTGCTTGCGAGCCGCGAAGTCGGCAGCCTCCAGCAGCTGCGCGACCTCGGAGTTCATCGCGCTGTTGGGGCCGGCCACTGCGGCCGCAGGAGCCGGGGCTGGGCGTCTATAGCGCCCTCTAGCGCCGGGGAGGCCCGAGGTTGTGAAGTCCAACCTAGTTGCAACTGAGCCCGGTCCAGACGGAGTCCTTTGGGGTTGACATCCGGGCCACAGACAGCAACTGGTGTGGGAGGCTGCCTTCAGCGTCGCAGCGCTCGGTTCCGTGTGCGCTACTGGGTGCAAGAAGAACATAGTTTGGCTCTCTGGGAGCCCGAAGTCTGTGCAAAGGGGGGAAGACAGACACGAAATAAGGCAGTGGCTTCACAGTGCGCTGAGTCCATGGTGGGAATGCATAGGGGACCACGGGACCTTGGAGAAAGAGCAATCCACCTAGCCTCAGAGTCAGAGACTGACACTCCCAGAAGGGGCATCTCCCCCATGAAAAGACAATCTTCAACCTGTCAGTGCTCGGAAAACTCTCAAAGTGCTCTAAAAATAGTTCTCCCTACAGGAATGGCCCAAACTGCCGTGGGCAGGGGATCCTCATCTTTGGGCCCAGGAGACCCCAGGGCTTGATTTTCTGAAAAATTGGAGCCTCCACTGGGAGCCCTGCCTAACTGCTACAGACTTGGGCTCCCGAGCAGCAGGAACTGTCTTTGTTTTCAGTGCTGCGATGAAATCCGCTTTGCTTTCTTGTGTCACAAGGGTTTCTGCTTCAGTCCTCAGGCACCTGCTGTATGTCCCTGGGGTGCTGAGTGTTGCCACTGCTGTTCTGGGAGCATGATGTTGTCAGGACTGGGTAGGCAATGGAATAACACTTAATTCTGCTGGCTGGTGGCCTCGGGCCTTCTGGAGAAATTCCCTGCCTTCCGGAAGCAGCTATGAGGTATAAGGGGTGAGAAAGACCTGGAGACCCCCCCCCCACACACACACACACAGAGCTTCCCTATGATATGGGGATGGCCATTTGCTAGTATATTCCAATCAGACAAGTGGCTTTTGTGTTCTGGCTGGTAGCTAGGGCAGATGAGACTCAGGGAAAAAGCTAATGAAAAGACTTATTTTTGGTTTTCAACCAGTCTTGGTGGTTGCCACTGTGAGAGGTCAGAGGGGAAATCTCCACAGGCTGGAACTGAGGTCTTTGGGCCTGAAATGGAATGGTCAGAATTGCCAGCGCTTCCACAGCAGCCTGGAAGTTGGAGAGTGGGTAGAGAAAAAACATATTTGGCGCTAGATGCTTGTCTGTTCTTCAGGCGAATGGTTCACCTTCTCTCTTATCCCACATTTTCTAGTCCTCTGAGCCTTTTCTCCTTCAGCAGTTTATAGCCAGAGCCCCCATATTTCCCAACAAGAGATAGAAATTCAGTCACTTTCATCTCTCTCTAGAAGCCTGTGACAGAGAAGCTTCAGGTTTGTATTAATGGTACCCTTGGGGTTTTGATTTTTATTTTCTTACTGTCTGCAGTCACGGCTTAGAAAGAGAGAGGCAGGGGTTCCTAGGACCAGGGCTGAGGTGGAGGTGACCTCTCATGGGCTTCAGGAGGAGGAGGCTGGGCCCCTTGCTGGCAGGCCTGTTGCTCTTTGGCTGGGTGACCCTTGCCCAGCCCACTTCTCTCTCAGGTACAGCACTTCCCTCTGCAGGCCGCCCCCCTGCCCTTGGTGTGGGCTATTCCTGGGAGCTGGTGGGGACTGGAGGCAGGGAGCCTGCTCTTCTGGTAGAGGTTGATCCCTTTTACTTTCCAGAAGTTGTGGAGTGGGCTATGGGCAGGTCCCTCCTGCTTGTCCCCAGTCCTCTCTGCCTCTCTCTTCAGCATTGGCCCGCCACCCTCACTTGTGCCAGACCACTCGGCATGCTGACGGCCACCACTACCCTGGGTTCTTCTGTCCTCGGCTCTCTGATACTCCTGAGGAAGCCTATTGCTGCCATCTCCAGGCTGCAGGGGGCTCCTGCTGCACGCGGGCCGAATTTGAGAACCTGTACCAAGTCAACCTGTCAACTCTTCCACCTCCGCCCATCCTCAGGTGAGCCACTAGAGCCACTGAAACATTGACAGATGTTCCAGTATTTGACACTCTGTTCCTAAATTATGGGGAGGCTTGTAGCTTACAGACTGGTGGAGGGACAGACAGCAAACAAAATCACGTTGATCATGATTACAAAAAACTACAAAGGAAAAATTCAGGAAGCTGTGACAGCGGATAAATTGGGCAGAGGGGGCGAGGGCAGTGTTAAGACTGAGAAGATTTAGTAGTAATCTGTAGATCACACGTTATAATAGAGGGTTTTAATCCTGAATCTGTCCACGGGTGGTTTATGTGAGCCCCTAAACTGGCATGTAAATGTGTGTGTATGCATGTCTATATTTCTCTGGGGAGGGGGTCTCGAGCTTTTTCCGGGTTCTCGGGGGCTCTGTGCCCCAAAGACTGTAGCAACGAGAGAACGGCTGGGGCCATGATCTCCTCTCTCCCACAGGGGCCCGGGCCCGCTCCTAGCGCTGGGCCTCTACAGCCTGCTGCTTGTGGCCTTGATGACCGCAGACCTCGTGCACTTCTGCCGCGGTCGAGGCCGGGGTTGGGGCCGGAGCCGCCGCGGGCCTCCCTCTGGGTCCTCGGCTGCGAGCTCTCTGCAGGGATCGACCGCAACAGACTAGGCGCGCC